TATCTATCTATCTATCTATCTTCTTATCTTATCTTATCTAATCTAATCTTATCTAATCTAACCTATCTATCAATTTATCTTTCTATCTTTCTGCAGTTCAACAGCCACAAAGTACCGCACCTGCCACGAAATCTGCACTTCAAGGTCCACAAAGGACAAAGTACTGCACCTGCCACGAAATCTGCACTTCAAGGTCCACAAAGTCTTGCGCCTGCCACAAAATCTGCACTCCAAGCGCCACAAAGTACTACACCTGCCACGAAATCTGCACTTCAAGGCCACAAAAAGTCCTGCGCCTGCCACAAACTCTGCACTCCAAGGCCCACAAAGTCCTGCACCGCAATGCACCCATTAGAAATAGACTGGTCCACCACATCTTTTTCCTGAGGAGATTCCCATCCAGGCACCTGCCGATGCTGCTACACCCATTCCAAACACTTCTCTGCTCTGAGCGCTCTGACAACGCCATGTAGGGCCTAACTTTGTGTGAACGCCGTGACTACTGCTACTGCTACCACTACTACTCCTACTACTCCTCCTCCTGCTGCTGCTGCGCTGCTGCTGGTGCCACTGCTACTGCTACTGCTACTGCTACTACTACTACTACTACTACTACTACTACTAGCCCAACCACCCTCAGTGGGCCAGAATATTTTTTTATTGATTCCCTTTTTATTTTTTTATTGATCCCCGTTGAATATTTTTTTTTGATTCTATTTTTATTTTTTTTTTGATCCCTTACCCCTCACATCGCTACTAGGAGCAAGGAGCCCACAGTAGCTTCCTTGCTCCCAGTAGTAAGGCCAGGAGCCCCTAGTAGCGTCCTTTGCTCCTAGTAGCGATGCCAGGAGCCCCTAGGTATCAGAAAGGTTTTGACTTACTGCCCTGAGTGAGATCGCGGCGTGGGAAGAGTGGGAGCGGAATGACGGGCAAGCCCTGTCTTTCTACAGGGCCTCAAAGACGCGCCAGAAGAAGCGCAAAGTGCCATAGACAGCTTAATCGCTGCAGGCCGAGTGGTGGGGGTGACAGTGAGGGAACTGCAGGATCTGCCGAGCTCCCCGCCGAGAGAGGTGGGGGAAGAAAGATCGAAGAACGGGCAAACGAGGTGGCGCTTGAAGCTGGCCAGAAGGAGAAGGGGCAGATCACAGAGTCAGTGGACTCGGGATTTACTTGCCAACTAGACATCGGTTTTGCAAACGGAGCGAGATTGCCTCTTGGCATACCAAGGGGCCACGCAGTTTGTCAAGCACCTTCAACGCAACAAAAGTAACCACGGCATTCCCCGATTCCATTGGCGGACATCTTCCAGTTTACAGTAACAATGCTGCCCAGACGGACATCATCAACTGCGCACCGAATTGCACCAACATATTGTCATCTCTGCTCTACAGAAGGGTTTGGAAAAACGAACAGTTTGGTTGGTCGTTTCTTCCAGGAAAACCTGAACAAAACAATCCGGAACAAAAGCCTCTGAAACCTCTTCAGACTATCGATTCCACGCTATAATCGCTACACCAATTGCTCCGCACACGTCAAATACGTTCAATGTTTCTTTCGAATAATAAGGCTTTAAGGAACCTAATAGTGTAGCGATGGCCTCCAACCTACTTGCCATGGCCTCCAATCTAAGAGCGATGGCCTCCAACCTAGAAGAATTCTTAATAGTCAAACCGCGACTTCAAGCCCACCTTTCCTTGACGCCACTGCCTGGCATCCAGACCCAATGCATGGAATTCAGAAGGTGTCACAGAGGAAGCACTTCTTTAGACAACTTTTGAATTCAGAACACAAAAGAACACATTAGGATGAAACAAGGAAAAAGGAAGGTAAGGCCTCCTTAAAGAGGGATTCTAGACATCTCTTTCATCCTTCTTTCATCTCGTTTTCTGCTTTCTGGTTCTGTCCATCCATCTGCCAGTGGAGAAGCGTGGCTGTGTGTGAAAAGAAATTGATTGTTGATAGCGGCGAACGTCTTAGCGAGCAGACCCACTTAAAACCACCGACACAGTGGGTGTCCTAATTAGGGTGTCCCAATGTTTGCTTTCAAAGCCGGGCAGATTCCAGAATGCAGGTTCCAATGCCAATCGGTTTCAAGAATGATACAGTACGATATAAGGGGTATGAAGACTCGTCAGGTGCTAAGGCTCGGGGAAAACCGATTGGTTACAGATGTTGCTCGATGGAGGTGCGCGATGGGAGCGTGTCGGCATGGGATTCCATCGCTTTGCGCAAAGAGAAGCGACTTGGCAGATGAAAGGTGACAAAATGGTGACACAGAAAAGTTTCTTAGGAGTTTGGAGGCCATCGCTACTAGGGTGGAGGCCATCGCTAATTACTAAGTTTGGAGGCCATCGCTATTAGTTTCCCTAAAAATCTAGGAACCACATGAATAGTGCGACCGTGAGCTTTCCTGCATCCGGAGCCTATATAGTAGCTACATCTTATATGCTTAAGCTTTACCAGCTACCATATGCTACCATTCCAGTGGCCTACATTCCACCCGGTTCCTTGACGTTCTGAAGCGCCAAAAGAGTCCTTGCGTGGTCACACAACCGTGTTTTGGTGCTTCCTTCGGCCTTTCAAGCGGTCCGACGAGGTTTTCCGGTTATTTCGAATGCATGCTGGAACTCTGGACATCGGGGAAGCTGACACTTCGAGAGAAGTTGCTTGGACAAGAAAACAATTTAATTTCTGGTTCCTAATAGCTTCTTGCTCCTAGTAGCGATGCCAGGAGTCCCTAGTAGCTTCATTTTGACACGAAGTGGAAACTGGAAGTCTAAGACTTGCTGCAGGTCTCATGTGCTCCAATTCTTGATCAACTGCTTCCAAAGTTTGGAGCAAGAGTTCGTTCGTGATTGCTGCCTCAGGCCAGGGGAATCGTACAAACCTGAAACGAAAGGCATTCTGTTCATTCATCTATACAAGTTGTATACAACTTCAGCTTTTCCAAGAATCTAGGTTAGAACATGCACACTCCATTTCTAGAAAAAACAAGGACGCTACTAGGGGCGCTCCTGGCCTTACTACTAGGAACAAAGGTTGGACCAAAGGGGCGATGCAAAGTCCATTTCTAGCTTCAAAGACCGTTCCTAGTAGCGTCCTTGCTCCTAGTAGCGATGCCAGGAGCCCCGTTCGTAGCTTCTTGTTCCTAGTAGCAAAGGGGCGATGCTGGAAGTTTTGCTTGAACAGATATTTGTGTTTGACAGTGCTGCCAGGCTGACTGGTTTGCAGTCCTGGTTCCATCTCAATGACCTGCATAGAGAGTGCCTGGGAATTGGACATTGGAGAGTGCAGTTCTTCCTTGTGGTCCACCTGTTGCCTTTGGGTAAACCACTTCCATGCGAGGAAGCTCCTTTCCATCAACAAGAAGCTCCCTGCTTTTTGGAAGAAGGTCCAGAAGAAGTATGCGACTCTGCCAAGTTGGGACGGGCCTGACATGAGTCTTGCACCGCAGGTTTAGGTCGGTTTCGGGTTTAGGCAGATTTGTTTTGAAGTCACGCTTGAAGTTTGACACTAACAGCAGCAAGAAAAGCAATACACACACCGATAGACATGATTGGCCGCCAGATGTCGAGAGAAACACTAGGAACAAGTGCCTTACTAGTAGTAACTAAGAAGCTAGTAGAAACAAGTGCCACGCTACTAGGAACACGTGCCTTATTAGTGGCTCCTAGTAACTTTCGAAATCGTTTTTTGGATCGGACACGAAGGACTTTCCGAAGGACTCCGGTTGTAATGGTCCTTTCTGTTCGGCACGCGTTTTGGTTTCCAATGCTGAGGCTGATCCAAAAACGCCCAACTCTCAGACAAGAAATCAAAAGATGATTCGGTAAGAAAAAGGAAACATGGCAAAACAAAGGGCAAATCAAACAACATAAGTTAAGGCAAAACAAAGGGTAAAGTGACTTGATTTGTCTCTTTTTGTGTCACTTGAGAGTGTGTCGACCCTTCTACAGGTGTCAAGTGCGTTTTTTTGTTTATTCTCATCAAAAAACGGTTTCTGTATTCTTTCTTTTTCTATATTCTTCTTCTTCTTCTTCTTCTCGTCTGTTCTTCGAAGGTCTCAAGCAAAGCATGAACGGAACTTCATGGCCGAGCTGCTCGACGAGTTCTTGGCTTCGCTGGAAGCCTTTGGAGATCGACAGCTCAGCGTGGAGGACGACAAAAGGCTTTTGTATAATTAAAAACAAACAAACGAGCTGCTTTTAAGTGCATTCTTTTACAGACTTCTTGTTTTTTATATATTTTTTTCATAGAACTTTCTTAGACCATGTGAAAAACATTGAATCTTCGGAGCTTTGGTGTAAAGCTTCAAGTTGGGTTTGGTCGTTTCCTTCATTCCTTCTCTCCTATCTCTCTTGCCTGTATTGATACTTTTGCCGCTGGTTAGCAAACTTTCTGTTTCCATGGATGGCTTGTTCCCTTTCAGGGTTTACCTTGGATCACTACCGCATAATTATGTTATGTTCGAAGGAGCTTTCGTACTTGGAGCGACACTGGGCGCAGCAGTGGGGGTTGGAAGTTGGTCTGCTGCAGCAAGAGGATCTATCAGCAATGATGTGATTTTATGCCACCAGTACAATTCGTTTGCACTCACTCAGGAGAAATGGGTTCAAAAAGGAATCCAACATAAGGATCTCAATGTTGACAAATGCTCCTTGTGAACCAGTGTGTTTTTCCCGCCAAATTGTCGACGTGTTCAATCATGGTTTAGGGAGCTGGCCCCGGGGGCAACCCATACGTTTCTCAGACGTCCCATTCTCTGCGGCAGAGCTTCTGCCACGTCGTTTCTTTGGCTTGAACGGGTCCCAAAAGTAGGTTGAAGACACTGGACCAAAGAGCCAAGCAAAGGAAGGACAGCCGATGTGCATTTGTTTGTTTTAGACCGTCAATGGGGCAACAAGCATTCTCCCAGAAGAATCTCTTGACAAGACGAACTCTAGAAACCGCTTCGATCTGCGCTGCTGGGCCCTACATCTGCATCTAAAGACACAATAGATAATAGATATAGTATCCTATTATGCGCACATGTAGTTAAATGAATCTTTAGCTCTTTTGTAGGCTGGAGGCCATCGCTATCAGATTGGAGGCCATCGCTAGTAGTTAAGTGTCCCTAAACATCTTTGAGCCAAATGAATAGTACGAGCGCTTCTTCAAGGAAGTTCCCTGTTGCCCTCACGTGGGGGGAGCTTCCTTGAAGAAGCGTGAGCTGTCCTGCGTCCTAGCCAGTACCAGGTCACCAGGTTACCTAGTAGTTTGTTTAGCCCTTACTCAATTAAGTATGCGCCTACTTAATTAAGCAAGGGCGAGGGTAAGCATAGTATGTGTCGCAAGTTTCCAGAAGGAACTCAAGTTTTTTGCTTTAATGCTAGTGAGCTAGTCTAAGCTTCCCATATCCCGAGCTTCTATCCCTGCCCCGCACTACAGTCATTCAATCTCCCTCAACTTTCTGTCTATGAAGCTGGTCTTGTCACCCTTCTGTGCAGTCCCACCTGTCCTTGTGGCTTTCGCTTTTGAGGTGTTTCCTCCCTGTGAACTTTTGCTTTATGGTGCTTTCATCTTTCTTTCTTTGAACTTTTAGACTTCTGTTTCCAATTTGTATCTCTCCCTTTCTTCATCTTTCTTCGGTGTCTCATTTCAGGCTCATTGATTGAGATGAGCACTGAGAGGAGGTGTCCATTTTTGTGCGGTATGTGCGCAGGGCGGTGCATCACTTATGATCATCCAACAGTTAATCTCCAGGCCCCAAGGTGGAAGTTTCAATCACGAATCATATCTTAAACATCTTAAACACATCTTAAACATATCCGTGGAACAAATTATCCACATATATTTTCATGTTGTCAAGTGAGTGCCGGACAGCATTGCAAAGGCAAATGGCCACGGCTTGGCATTTCTGAAATACTGTCCAGCTGCTGGTTAAATCCTTTTTGTCCTTGCAAGCTCATAACAGAACTAGAATGTTCTCGAGCACACACAATTAGTATTTGAAACACATTTTCACAGTTCAAACTCTGGCACCGCTGCATTACCATGCGTTCGTCTCTCAGACACCCCGCAGCCTGCGCCACTACTATTGCGCAGACCTGCTTGCGTATGTACTCTGCATCTTTTCACAACTCGGAACACCAAAGAATTCTGCATAGGTTCTAGTAGCCTCTTGCTCCTAGTAGCGATGCCAGGAGCCCCTAGTGGCTTCTTCGATAGATCACTTTGTGTGCATTGGAATTTTGAATTCGGGAATGGATGTCATTAAGTGATACTGTGAATGTCCGCCATGTCGAACACATGGGACAAATGAACTTCTTTGAATCCCACAGATGTGCAGAACTCGCGCAAGGCAAGATTGTACAAACTAAAAATTAATCATGGAGCAAGAACGCTACTAGGGGCTCCTGGCCATACTACTAGGAGCAAGAAGCTACTAGAACCAATTCAGAATTCTTTGGTGTTCAACATAACTCTCTGGCTGATCTAGTTGATCATATGCCGAGGTTTGAGAAGTCGCTACTAGAAACAAAGGGCATCGCTATTTGTAACAAGGGCATTGCTACTAGTAGCATTCTTGCCACTACAGCATGTGGCAACTGTCAGTGAACCAACGAATCACAGTCAGAAGGTCAAAGGTCAAATGGCTATCTGACAGTGAGAGAAGAGGAAACAGAAGAGGGCAGTCTTCCGAGTTGGAGCTTTAGCGGGTCGGACGTCTTGAAGAGAGTTGACCACATTGCGTTGCTGGCCGCAAGCTTGCCACGGCTTTTCGTGCTTTCGTGCCACTGACTTTGCATGAAGCGGAGGAAGTTCCGAGGAAGGAAAGAAGTCATACGAACGTCATCTTTGACTTGCCAGTGCTATCCGTCATTCCACACTTGGTAGGATCTCACTGTGGCCGCCACCTCCATCTTGCCGATTGAAAGGTGCAAATATATGCGTCGGAAGTATAGGCAAGAGCCGTATATCAAAGAGGCCCTTGCTTATAAAGTTTCCTTTTTCCTAAAGGGGCAAACGGGGCCCTTTTCTTCTTTTCTGTCTCAAGCAGGCCGGCTTGAAGGAGGACATGCTGTGCTCTGTAAACTGTAGACTGCAAGATCAAACGTTTGGTAGGTCCAAGCTTACTTTTCAAAGGAATGGATAACCATTGCTAATTAGGTTGGAGGCCATCGCTACTAGATCCTGGTTGACCAAGGATGCATTGAGCTCATGGTCGACTTGCTAGACCAATTGCCAACTCGACGTTTCTTCCGGCCTCTTCTTGTGGACAAACACATTGTTGCAGCGCGGCAGCAAACGAACAGGCTTTACAATGAAAAAGACACAACATCAAAACATTTCATTAAACACAAAGAAGGTGCTTGGACCCTTTCAAAAGGCCCTTCTCGACCTCCTTTATTCCTTTTCATTTCAGCGCTGTGTCACAGCGTGTCCTCGGCATTGTTGGTACAAGTCTACGAGTTTGTCACAGTATTTGCGTGAAATTGTGAAGTTGTTTAAACAGCGAAAGCCAGTTGTGTTCACAATCAGTGGACTCAGAGCGTTAATTTGCATGGTCTGGGCCGGTGAGCTTTACAACCTCAGCTTCGTGACAAACAGCATGCAATTTTTGGTGATAACTTGGAAGTGTGCAAGGGAACTTGTGTAATGCTACAATTGCAATACTTTGTTGAAGGGTTTTTGACGCAAGCGTAGATTGGGTGATTCTAGTCAGTTTGGCAATGTATGTCAAACATGTCCCTTAGATTTTGGCAAATTTGTGTCTTGTAACTTGTAATTAGGAGTCTTGTATGTCTAGGTACGGTGCAAACGCTCGAAAGTGGCGCAGCTTCCGGAGGTTTGGGGCATGTCTTAGCATGTTTTGAGCAATGCTATTAGGTCGCTTCCAACCTACTAGCCTCCAACCTAATAGCAATGACCGCCAACCTAATAGCTACCTCTTCTACTAGCTACCTAGCTGCCTATCCCCCCCCGGTGGGCTAAAACAAAGAACGAACAGACAAATTATGCAAAACAATAGACATAGAGAAAGAGTAGAAACGAACAGAACAGATTAACATTTAAACACAATGCTTTAATTGCTTCACTTCAATCCGTCGTTTGAATGGGTCTGTAAAACCGTTTCTGAGATGTTTGGGCCTTTTGGGGCTGGGTGCTGTTGCTGCCCTTGTTCTGTGAGGCCAGGCTTCTCAATCAGCTCTTGGGGATCCTCAGGCGCACACTTGATGAAACAAAGATTAAAAGCATACAAGAAGCTATTAGTAACAAGTGCCTTACTAGTAGTAACAAGAAGCTAGTAGTTACTTTATACAGCTGTTCTAGCTGTTCTGTATTCTTTAAATTCCTTTCTTTTTTTTGTCAGTTTTTCATTTCTTCTTTCGAGCTCTAATTTAGATATCTTTTCTCAAGATGTGCAACTTTGGTTTCGGTGTGAATTCCAGATACTACGAGAACTTCGAGATAGATGACACGACTGGCAAACCTTTGACTAGACGCGAAGTCACTGATCTTCACTATGACCGCTTGCAGCTCTTGCAAAGAGCTCCTTGAATGATGAAGATGCGGAGCGATTTTTGCATTCTGTCCCAAATCACAAGAAGGACATCTTGGCTTGGTCTTGGAACTGTTGATTCTGAGGTATGCTTCCAGGAATTTCCTGAGAATCCAAGCCTCAAGCAGATCATGCTGATCAACGTTGCAAACCTTGATACAAGGTGATCTTGGAAAGATACATTTTTCTTTTCATATAACTTTAAAGTTCAAAAAGTTAAGTCTAACAAGACGAAAGAGCTTTCTTGGGAATCGTTTCACTGGGAATCGTTTCACCTGTAGTAACAAGAAGCTTTCTAGTATGTCTTCGAAGCTTCTTAGTAAGAAAGTTAGGTTGGAGGCTATTGCTAGTAAGAATGTGGCAGAAATCCGAAGATCTAAGCACGAAGCCTAGAGACAACAAGAACTAGAAAGCTTCTTGTTACGAAACGATTCCCAAGGAAGCTTCTTTGCTCCTAGTAAGGCCAGGAGCCCCGTTCGTAGCGTCCTTGTTACTAGTAAGGCACTTGTTAGTAGTAGCGATGCACTTGTTCCTAGTAGCTTCTTGCTCCGTTCGTAGCAGATTTAAAAGAAGAGGAGGAGACCGAAACCAAAGCCAACAGGAGGACACCCCAAACAGGATGCGCTGTTTGACCTCAGATCCCCTTATGGCACTGTCGGAAAGAGTCGTTGTCCTGTCATAGGCTTGTTCTTTACTTTTGACTGTAGCTCAGAGTAGTTAAGTCCATCTCCAAGGGAAAACAAACGGTCCATAAAGGAAAACAACTATACCATACCAGCATAGACCCAAAACAGTTTCAACAGCAAGAGTTGTGATGGTTGTGGTTGTTGTTGTTGCTTTGGTGGGTGCGGACACGAGAGAACAACAAAGGGACCAGACAAAGAGACGAGGACAACTACTGGAGGCAGCCTCTCAAACGCAGCCAAGCTGGACCGAAGAGGGACACCACGAAGGCAACTCACAACTTCTTTTTCCCCAACCGGAAGGCCATCGCTAGTAGGTTGGAGGCCATCAGGAAGAACGAAAGAAAGAAAGAACCGTTCTGGTTTCTAGCAGTCAGGGGTGGTTAAGGCCAACGTCAATCTTAAGATGGGGTGGAGAAACAACACATTACACGAGATATTCCTTTTTGTGGCAATGTGAGTGTCCTGACCGCATTTTTTCGGGTGTTTTGCTGCACAATCCAGTCCCAACGGTGCTGACCTTGTTCTCATCTGGGTTGCGATGAGCTGAGACTTTGAAGGATTATGATACATAACCTCCAACCTAATAGCGATGGCCTGATGGCCTCCAATCTATAAGCGATGGCCTCCAACCAAAAAGGAACGGCCTCCAATCTCAAAGAGGGCACAGGTGTCACAGGTTTGCAAATCATATTGCAACATCATCTCAACAGTCAGTCGTTCTTGGAGAAATCACTCTCAAAACGTCAAAGGACGCCTCCTAGCCATCGCTAGTAGGCCATCGCTACTAGGTTGGAGGCGATCCTGTCAGCTTGTCCATTGTAGCAACCGCCCACTGGAGTTTACCCTCGTTGTTGCATGTTCTGTTTGCTTTGTTTACTTTTTGACATTTTAGAGGTGCCTTTATGAAAACAGAAAGGATACAAGAACGTGAACATCAGTGTCAAGTGTTCTTCAAAGATGGTGCAGGGAAGCACTGCTGGAGAACTTCACCGTGCTGCCATTGGAGGTCCTCAAAGTGCTTTGCGCGAAGGTTTGCTATTTGGATGTGCCAACCCAAGAAAGCTTCAGAGAACACTTCAGAGTGATTCTGACACTTAAACAAGGACACAGCACAGAACGTCACAAAGCGAATGGCAGTTGGAAGAATATTTGGAGAGTGTTTTAACTTTGTCCGTTGCTTTTGGCCGCCCCTTGTTTGTGGTCAGAGGAAATCCTGTGTCTTGTCTTGATGTCTGGTGGCAGCCAAGGTCAGCAAAGATTCCACACTTGTTGCGATGGAACAGAAGGCAAGCGCTGTTCAAACATTTTGTTCAACCGCTACTAGGGGCTCCTGGCCTTACTAGGAGCAAGGACGCTACTAGGGCTCCTGGCATCGCTGTTCAAACGAAGCGATTCACAAAGAGCCGCTTTGAGGCTTTACAAACACTTGACGTGCAGGTTCTTGAGGCAATAGCGGCGCAGGAACGATTGGAAGCTGAGAAAGAGGAGCCAAAGGAACCCAAAAAGAAGAAGCGAAAGAAGAAAGTACCGGGCTCACAACGTTGATAGTCCATTCATACAAGGTTGGAGGCCATCGCTTCTAGTTTGGAGGCCGTCGCTATTAGAGGGTACATTTAATACGAAGATCCCGCACAGGCGAGGAGCTGATCCAAACCCATAGTAGCTATAGGATGCCTATAGTATCAAGTCATGGACATGGCCATAGACCTGCGCATGCATGAAACCAGCCGAACCATTGCAACCAGCACTCCTCGACACCTGCCCGAACCTGCCCATCCAATTGAGTAACAAGAAGCTATTAGAAACAAGTGCCACGCTAGTAGTAACAAGTGCCTTACTAGTAGTAACAA